AGATGGCGAGTAATCGCGGGTTCTTCCTTTAAAGGCAGTTGGCACGATAAATCGCTATACAGATGTAGGATTTATACGACTGGCTTAACAGAATTCCGTGACCTCGGACAGGCGCTCCGTGGCGCCTTTTCCAAGGAGGGTACCCCTATAACGCCCTATCGAGCAACAACATTCCGTCCCAAACGCCTTCCTCGCCCGCCCGCCCACAAACGGACGACCGTTCCTGCAGCCGTACCTTCGGTAGCGGTGATTGGCAAGATGCCGTACGGGAAACTCGTCCGAAATCGATTTTCAAGTCACTGAGAACGGAGGCTTTTTCTTCGCAGGATTTTGACCGTTTCACTCCGTTCTTTCGCCATTTCCTACATAGCGCCCTACTAGCATTTTAGGCCGAGTGGAAAACCATCGTGCCAACTGCCTTAAAGTGAGACCTCTGCTACATCGTCCCACGTGCTAACAGAGCTCCTGTTTAAGATGGTCTCGACAGTTTGATGTGTTCTATTTTGCTTCACTAGTACACGCCTTCCACTTGATCTGCTGATTTTTAACCATCGTACGGGAAATAGCCAACGCGAGCGTTGCCTATGCGTGAAAAGGTTTACTATAATTACTAGCCACATCAACTTGCTATTACTTTGCTCAAGCCATTTTTCTTTCGTGCTAAGAGAGATAGCATCTCTGTTACACATCCCATAAATCCCACAGGCATCATCTGCTGCTTTACTCCTCGATTGCACGCAGAAAGAAGCAAATATAATCTACCTAATGAATTGTAACTTGTTTCAGTAATGCTGTGCCTCACGGGTGTAGGTATAACTTTCATTAAGCCGGCTCAACGTTTCAACTGTTTCGTCGTCTTCGGAGGCACAGGTTTCCATCTTCAGAACGAAAATCCGCAACCGCTTTTCAGCGTGGGTAGAATCGCTATCTACTGGCGCTCAAAATGTGGAGCCAAAGTGGAACCCTGGGCCTGTGATGACGGCGAATTACTAGAAACGTTAGGCCGCACTGATTAAAGTTCCACCAAGCCAACCTGAGTCACAAATTACTAGCACAAGTTACAACTTACTATGCCCACGTTGCAAGAAAAGGAATGTTGGGAAATTCTTTCTAATAAAAGTATCACAAGCTGTAGCCTTATAGGCATGTATCACTGGAAGATGGGAAGGGAAAGTGCGAGAATATCCTATTCATCACATGGTTCATAACAACGAGCACATTTATACATTAGATGGAACGAACAAGTGTAATAACATCATGACTTTGGTCAAGTGAGATTTTCATTTTTTGAAGATGAATGGACTGCTAGATACAAAAGACTTGTGTTCTAGTATTATTATATTCTCTTTAGCCCGGCTTCGCCGTAGACGTTGCGCTCCCTCATAAATGGAATCAGCTAAATGAAGCTGCTTACCTATTGTCCTGTTAACGGGGATCACGAATCATATAGACACAGCAGGCCTACGGACCTGCACTTACTGAGTAGATCCATGATGGTTTGCTAGGAGGGTCGGTGCTTTGGCCATTGACGCCTTCACACTATACATCAGATCGTAGATGTTCACGATGAACAGTACTCTTCGACAAATTTATGAACAGCTCAGTGGTATGAAGAAATCCCATTATTTTAGTTGGCCTGCACTGGTCCATTTCTCTAGCTGCTGATGGTACTGACTGCATCGATAACGCCTGATCTATGTCAACCGCCTAAAATGGAAATGTATCTGCATCGCATTATCAAATCAAGGACGATGAGGTCGGGTATCAATTTTCCGGACAACCAGACAACGTAGCAAATCCCCCCCCCCCCCCGCTGTGGTGCACCCCTCCCCCCCCCCTTCCCCCCCCCCCCCCGCCCCCCCCCCCCCCCCCCCCCCCTAATTATATAAAGCACGATCGTCTAGCTGCGATATCAACCAGATTAACCATGGGTGAAAAGTGTCGTGTGTGTATTGTGTGCGTATGTGAAGATGTGTGTGACTGTCAAGATTGTCACGATATATCCATCCATCTATCCATCCATCCATCTATCCATAGAACGGCTCGCTGCAGCGACGGTACATTGCTTCCTAGATAAATAGAAAGATTAAGGGTGGGCGGTAGGAATTCTGACACATGTTCCGCAAAGCGACTCCCACTCCATCACCATCTACAGCGGGAGCACCAGCATGGACTTTGTGCTTATCAAGAATGGCAATCAAGGACTCATCACAGACGCTAAATAGTGCGCATAAGAGCTGCGATTTCTCGCATCTGATTACCGAAGGTCCCGACTGTTGAGGAAGCTTGCAATGAAGCCTTTTGATCGATACTCCCAAGTCGCTCGCTCGGAACTCTGACTGACAACTGGGTACCGCGAAGCGAGGATTGCGGCAAAAAGACCGTTGCTGCATTGGAAACAGTTAATTTTATCGATGTCAACAAGAAGAGGGAGACGACGGGGAGCTTCACTTGTACCGACTTGCCCGATCTCATCACGCCAAACCGAAGACAGCGAAAAGTTTTGGCATCAGTGACGAGGACGGCCATTTCTAATGAGCAGAGTGATTGCGCAACTACGGCAGGTAAATTCACCCATAAACTAGTCTCATTGCAGCCCCAATATACACTCCCATTCGGAAAATATCCGTTGAAGAAACGGAAGCGGCTGTGAAGGAGATGAAGGCAAGTGAAGCTACAGGCCCCGACGAATAACAGCGGACTGGAAGTCAGAGCGCACTCCGCAGAATGGTTGACGAAGCTCTTCAACCATTTCGTCGTGTCTGAATGTGCCCAGACTGACAGCAGCAGCAGTTTGAAAAAAGAAGTGCACCTCGGTAGATTGATCGAACTAGCGTCCAACTTCCGCACAGCATAAAAGTATTTTACCGAATTGTCGATGGCATCCATAACATCGCTCAACTTTCTGCCAACAAGTGTGGCTTCGTGAATTGCTGTAGCCCCACGCCATACATGCCGCTCACCTTCGCTGGAAAAACATCGCGAGAAGTAAGACCATGATCTTTCTTGATCTAAAGAAGGCACTTGAGCGCATTCGTCGAGACGTCATTTGTTCGCCCTGGAACCGCACGGCGTCTCCAAAAACATCATAGCGTGGGAGCGCATTCTCTATTCACAGAGGGGCGAGTCCTGACACCTGCAATCGCATCGATGAAGTTTCCTGTCGCTGTTGCGGTACAAGGCTCCGCGTCTCCCCACTCCTTTTCATTGTCGTCGTGAATGCCATCACACGAAACCTCCAGAAAGAAGGTCCTTCGAACTTTTCACGCTGGTGATGTGATGCTTGCACGCAAAGATAAGCGCACGCTAGAGCAACAGGTGCAAGCTTGAGCTGATCCTTGGTTAAATTTTGCTCGGATTAAACGTCTGAAAGACCGAATAGTTGACAACCCACCCAAGAGAGATGGGTCCCATCAAAGTTGATGGCACTGAGCTCACGCGTACAAAACATTCGAGTATCTCGGATCAGCAGCTACTCCCGATGGAGGTCTTAACTCAGAAGGGAACGCAAGTGCAGCATGGTCGTGATGGCGATCTATGTCTGGGATTGTCCGCAACAAGCAGATGCCAGAGCGCTCTATTTCTAAGATGTACAGAAGCGTCGTTCGATCACTCGCACTAACCGTGCTGAGTGCTGACCCGTCACGGATGAAGTCGAAGTCCCACGTTGTGTGATCAAAATGAGAATGTTGCGCTGGATGGAGGGTGTTACGCGTGTGAACCGCCGATGTAATTGGCAGTAAGTTCTGTGAAGCCCTTATAGGTGGCAAAATGCGAGAAACGTGCCTTCGTTAGTTTGACCATGCACTTCGCACAATGGCTGACCCCGTCTCTAAGGTGAGCTTTCAGCTTGAGGTGCCCGGAAAGCGGCCCAAGGGAGGTCCCAAGCACGGCGAGCCTAACGCACTGCATATATGTATACTTGGAAATAGTCGGAATACAACCAGGCATTGATTGGGAGAAGTGGTGTCACCATATTGAAGAGCGACCTTGCCACCAAAAGGAGTAAACGCTAAAGAATAAGAAAAAAAACGGGTGTGCCGTTGGAGGGGGTTTGCGGCGGTGTATAGGGCGACCTGGATGATTACTTGCTCGGTCTCAAGAGCTTGAGAAATATATTAAAAAAGTGGCTGTTTTGGGTCAAAAAGTGGTGATTCTGGTTTGAAAAGTTGTATATCTGATTTGAAAAAAGGGAGTTTCGGTCCAAACAGTAGTGTACTTGAAGCGGAAGTGGTGTATACCGTGCGTCGCAAGGATGATACCAACTATGAGCACTTTGACTACCCGATTCTCAAGATGTTTCCGGAAAAGCGTCCAAAGAATATCAGTGACGTTCATCGATGCTGCAAGATCCTGACAGCCCTAGTGAGTGTGAAATGAATCAGATAAGGGAGCTTGCAGGCAAGCGACCTTTCTTGTCTGGATCATTTTCCCCTTCCTACATGTCATTCACCAGGGAAGTCCCCAGCTTACCATGGAACTTTGAATGGAGACCTGGGTAGATTGATAGAGTCTATAAGGTTATTTACAAATATAGATAGCAAAACTGCAACCTGCATTTCACAAGCAACTTATGAGCAGGTAAAGTTTGTAATGGTGCAGTAGGGTGGAGGCTTGGTGGTGAGCTGTGAAGCATAAGCGAGGAATCGCATACGTCGAATCGAGTCGTCGAACGTCGAACCTTACCACTGAACCACCACGACTCGATTCGACGTATGCGATTCCTCGCTTATGCTTCACAGCTCACCACCAAGCCTCCACCCTACTGCACCATTACAAACTTTACCTGCTCATAAGTTGCTTGTGAAATGCAGGTTGCAGTTTTGCTATCTATATTTGTAAATAACCTTATAGACTCTATCGATCTACCCAGGTCTCCATTCAAAGTTCCATGTTAACTTGGAGGACTTCCCTGGTCAGTCATAAATTTTCGAGTAGTTTTCTCTATTGAGGGATTCAATGACGAATAGTTCCTCAAAAAGATTTTTTACAATGTTTTAAGGCTTCATCACTCGTCTCAAATACCCATCGGTGACACGTTCACCCTTCGTCAACCAATATGTAAACAACCATGGGAGCTAACAAGCGAAAAGATCAAAATGATCACTAAGATTGGTGCAGGTGCATTTGGCGAGGTGTGGCATGGCGTCATGCATGAAAGTCCGAATAAACCACCATTTGACGTCGCTATCAAAGTTGTGAGACAATTTTCTCAACCACTCTTTCATGGCTTTCAGTAGCTTCGCAGATTCATAAAGGAACACGACTGATTATTTTATTCTTCAGAAGAAGATCAATGCTGAAAACAAAGCAATGATGGATGAAATGTACAAAGAAGCACGCTTAATGAGACAGTACAAGCACAAGTATGACTTTAGTTTGGGAGTTTGGTACTTGAAACTGGTCAGAAAACAGAGTTTGGTTCGTAGAGAACATATCTTAAATAATAAGCACACGGCGATGGCAGTTTCTACCCAATGAATGTGCTCATCGATGTGACATCACTGCAATGACACTTTACCTCGTTACTGCTTGAAATCCACGCGCCGCGTTACACGCCCTGTCGTTTCCAGAAATCATGACTGTACTTTGCGACAGGGAAAAATTGACTAGTTGAAGAAGTAGCATTACGAATTGACGAGGATCACATACAGTTGATCTTACCGCAAACATCGTAATCAGCCGTCCCCATCTGCGGAAATTCTACCACCGGTTGTTTCATCCTAATCGACCAGTACCCACCCGCCATTGGCCGATCCAGGCTGTCGGAGGCGGCTCTTCCCAACTATCTCACGCCGTCCCGACTGAGTGCGATGTTATAAACTATACCTGTTCATCTACTTCCGCTATTCGTCACTTCTGCGACTCGTCATTTTTTCAATTCATCAGCACTTCACTGTCGCAAAGCGAGGACGCGAAATCAAAGTGAGAAGTTAGTGGCAACACATTACGAGCTTCTTTTCTAGACTTTCTGAATGGACGGTGCTTCAAATTCGTGCGTCAGATGATGGTGATACTTGCCCCAACCCTGCAGAAAAGGGATCGCAGGATGGCTGAACCAACCACATTTGTTATTTATCCCAGTTAGCGTGATTTAACACAATGTGGATCTAGCACTTAGTGATAATTTAGGACTCATTGTACTTGTGATAATTTAGGACCTATCAAGACACCATCACTTGCTATCTTTTTATTATACCCTACAATGCTACCTCTGCCTACTATCTTTGTCTCTGTCTATAAGCTCAAAACACTACAGCATGCGTGGAGGCATTTCGTCTTTGGAGTCGCTTATCAGTCATACTTGTCATTCATACTTATCACACTGTATAACGCGCCATCAGTGTGCTCGTCGTGATATTTGGCTCAATTGTTGTTTCAGTTGCTGGGGTCAAGGTCAAGCTGCCTCTCTGACACACGGTCATACTCAGTGAATCGTGAAGCTTTGAGTTAAGGGGGCGCAGAAATCAGTGATGATTTACGCCACACTGCTCTAACGAACCCTTAGTGGGAGGCGGTTTTCAGCACTACGCGACGTCGCGTGCGCAGCAACGCAAAATCGCGGGCTTGCAGTGACAGCACTGTAGCAGTAACAAACCATCGCGAGTGCGTGCCGATCGTAACCATTCGGTATTTGCTATTGTCCTACCGCCACATATCCGCCGGGGACTATAACTCATCCTTTTGTTCCAAGGTTTTGTGCAATCAACACCATTGATTATCCCTGTTTCCTTAGGTCTTTAAAATAATCACTGTATGGGTTCTGTTCCTCGTCACTCTAACAGGGCTGTCGTATTAACCATTTTTCTTCCAGTTCTACTGAAGAGATTAGCTGCCGACCCAATGTGAGTTACACAGCAGAAAAGCAGAGCAAAAATCCATATGTACCTACCACATAAGTCCCACCAAAGAAGCCGGAATGTTGGCGAAGATGCGGTCTAGTGCCCTATTGACACTTGGCACTCTGTGAGCAACCACTTGTTAGCAAATGCGCAAACTCTGCCTGGCAGTACTGTCGCACAATCTCTTCTCTCCGAGGCTGCATTCTTTCGGCTATACGTTGCATTAACACATGAAGCGAAAGAAAAGGGACTAGGAACTTGATTCTATGGTCAGGGCCAGTACGAATATTACCAATATTTGGACCACGACAATGATTGTACGTGAAGAATGAATCGGATATGCAAAGGTATTTTCAGAAATGTGGTTACTTTTTATGGCGTTGTACAAGAAGGTAACGGGAACGTCATGATTGTCATGGAGTTCATCAACGGTGGCTCGTTAAAGGATCATTTGAAGAAGACCAAGGACGTATGTCAAATCGATTATGAGGTTCTCCCTGATGGGTAACGGCTTAATTGTAATGCTCTTTCTACTAGGGGCTCCGCCGTCCTGAAAAAAGCTACTTCACAGCCGTAGTTCTTGTTAAGATTCCCGTGAAAACAAAAGTTAGCTACGCATGTGACGTTGCCGTTGGACTCGTCTACTTGCATTCCAAAGGTTGCATGCATAGGTTAGTGATACTGTTCAGAGGTCAATATATTCGTAAATCAATTTGCGGTATGAAAAAGATGTGAACATCCAATAGCTGGCCACTAAATATAATAAATGACAACTTATGACGTGACAGAAGACCTCACCAAATTCCTACAACATTCCTTTTGCAGAAAAGTAAATAAAGGACATTTTGAGTCTGCAGCAAGCCGAAAAGTTGTCGTAACTGCTCCTATCTTCGCCTATTTTCTTGAATAGGTTCCAATTTTGTTATTCGTTACTAGCGGATCATCTCCGTTGGCAGGACTATTTTTTTAGTTCCAATTCCAATCCAGGCATTTTGAAATGAATTTGGAGTGCAATGTGTTCACAATGTTCACGGGTTTAGCATGATTATGGGAAGTAGTGTGATTCATCAGATGCTGGCGTATAGCTACATCGTAATCGTAGATAGCTGAATTTGAAAAGCGGGAAATCAGAGAGAGTCAAATGGTGATGAAAGCGGATCGAAGGGGTTTATTGCAGAGCGTGAGAAGCAAGTAAGCTGGGAAAAGGCGAGCAAGTATGTACTTGTTGAGTTTCACGAAGTGACTGTTACAACCAAATGGTAGAGGTCCCATTGTCTGTGTGCCGTTGATAATGGCTTGCTCAAGCAAGGCACGCAATAGCGTACCAGCTCATCATTTCTAGCACTGCTATAAGCTGTAGCGGGGTACCCTGTGGCACGATGAACGTAATTAAGCATCGGCTACAACATAGATTTCAGGAAGCACGGTGAGACCAACTGTGTTCGAGATATAGTTCGAAAGGCTCAAGATTGCTACCATACTCCGACTAACTTGGAGATAAAGGCGGCAAGCATCGCTCATTTTAATAGGCGCATTGAATAAATGAAATGCCGCGCATTAGTTAATTCCTTGCTTATCGGAGAGAGGGGAGCGTCTAAAATGCTCCCGAGGCATAAGTCTGTGCAGAAGGGACGCGCGAAGTTGATGGGAGGGGGCAACGGAAACAGGTCATCTAATCGTGCTATCATTGGCTTAGCGCCTCAAATGTTCATTACGAAGCTCCGACAAGCGCTCATCGCTCGCACCGTTGACATCAGACTGGCACAGCTCTGGCTCAAGTGCAGTTGGCACGTGACTATATGAGTTTCCCACACAAAGGCTAGCTTACAGCTTAAGCATCGGCGTCGAGCAGATGAGTAAGGCAATGATCAGAAAGCAAAATGCCAGACCTACAATAAAGCACCGTTGCTTCAATGAGGTTCAAACCGAGATTTATGACACCGCACAGAGCCATCCGAATGCAACCAGCGGTTCGCTGCAGTTATGCATTAGATGGTTTGGTGTTATCAGAACGGTACTGTCAGTAAAGCGGAGATGCCGTAGTTGCCGGCCGTCGGTCTTCACTCTCATAACTTTCTATGCCTGTTGACGCGTGACCATCTCGAGAAGGCGCTCAATAGCTTGGGCAAGATGGTATCGCCCTGTGGGACCCCTCTCCTCACGTTGATGATGATCTGCTTGTAGAATGGTGAGATCCTGAGATTGCTGTACAGCTCACAAAGAAGCTTGATGTACTGAGTGAGAACACCCTAGTTGCCCAGGGCTTCGATAACCGTTTCTGTCTTTCTTCAAGTCGATGAACGTGAGACATAACGGCATCTTGTACTCTCGCGATACTTCGATGAGCTTCGTTACCGTGTGGATGTGATCGATCGTGCTGAATCCTCTTCGAAACCCTGCTTGCTCGCATGGCTGTCGTCTAGTGTTCTGCCAATCCTGTTCAGGATGACTCGTGTGAAGAGTTTGTAGACTACAGACAGCAGGCAGATTGGGCGATAATTGCCAATGTCGTACAGGTCTCCCTTCTTCGTACAGCAACACAGTCCTGCTGGTTTCTCCACGAGGTGGGATACCTTGCATTCCGACAGGTAGCGCACGAATAGTCGGGCTAGGTTTCGGCGAGAACTGGAGGAAGATTTTCCAGATATTTGGGTCTCATCCTATCGAGACCGAGTGCCGTACGATTCTCCACGGACTGGATGGCATGCCGGACTTAAAAAGGGAGAACTGAAAGGAAGACGTATCCCTCCTGTTTTAAACAGTACGGAGGGAGGTAGATATAGCTGCCCCAGAGAAGTCGTGGATGATCGTTGCCATTGCCCTTTTGGATGCAGTGACTGTTCCGTCCAACCGTCGAAGGCCGATCACCTTGCTTAGTTGGCGAAGTCGCTGCGGGCTTTGCGGATGCTCTTCACAACCTGTGCTGCTTCTACTACTGCTGTCCTCTTCATAAGGTCTTCATTTATCGCTTCTCTGCATAGCTTCGCAAGCTCGGGTCAGGTGGTAGTTGCCTCGCGCTTGTCCGGCTCCACCTTAGCGATCATTCCAAAGTTTTCATAGAGAAACGCTTCTTGGTAAGCACGGGACTCTGTGATACGACGAACATCTTGGCGCAGTCGCGAAGATGTTCGACGAGCTGTTCGTATTCCTCGTCGAAAGTTGCTAATAATAGAAATTTTCCCAGAGCCTAGCGAGAAAAGTAAAGTGATTTCAACTGATGGAGGTTTTGGGATTTTACTTGATGAATTTTGTAGCTGTCTCTCTCTTCGCGACGAAAAGTGGAAACGTGGTCCGATCATATTCATTCATTTATTCATAAGTCCAGCGTGATTGTAGGGCTTCCGGGAACTGCGAGTTACTATGGATGGTATGGGTCGACTTGATGAACTCGAACAACCTTCCTGCTCATTCCATTCTATTCCGTGAGTTCCGATGTAAAGTTCTTAGGCCCTTCTGTTGGGCCCAGTCTTAGCGTTGAAATCACCGACGAAGATCTTGAAAAAGGTGTGCTCTTCCTTGTGAACTTCTATCCTGTATAGGATGCTTCGAGCTCATCCTGTTAGGTGTTACTCGATGTTGGCGCGTAGGGGAAGAAAATTTCGAAGTTGGAGTTGAACCACAGTTTCTCGATGGCAAACTTCTGATTCGGGTCGTCAGATTTTCGTACGAATCGATGTTCATGGCCAAGTGCGTGTTGACGAGGACGCCCGTACCGCCAACGGCTCTGCTGTCGCATGTACGGCTCTGCTGTCGCATGTTTTGAGGAAATTCTTTCCTAGTTTCGTATGTGGCAGAAGCGAGCGACATCTCCTAGTCTCGGTCAGTCCAATGAGTCGCACTTGGTCTTCCTGACTTGCACTATCAGATCTTCGATGTGAGCTTCCGATGCAAGCGTCCGTGCGTTGGGCACAGATCGTCATGGTAGTCCTGGACAGCTTTATTTTCCGACCCTAGAATTCCTGCTGCTTTCTCTGAGCGGTTCCAACAAACGCCGCCCTCTCGGTGATTCAGAGAAATGATGCCCATATCCACTGCTGTTTTCGCAATAATAGTTGACAGCCTGCACCTTACTAGGCTCTAGCGTGGTACCCGCTGCATTACGAAACGTTTATCCCACGCCACGTTGAGGCTGCAGATAGGATTCATGGGGGATCCCTGGGGTACAGAAATTAGCGTCGAGACAACATCGATACCTATAACAGAACCAAAATTGAAAAGGCGACCATAGCAACATGCATAGTGATGGAAGGTAAGAAACATTGGTATCAAAATGAAACATGGAAAGTCAGTTTTTGTTCTGCCAGTCGGATCTGGTGAGAACAAGTATCATTTCGAAACTTCAAATTTGCTAGCGTGCAAGCAACCACCCTTCCGGATACATCCTTGTGTTGAGAGGCTTGCGGTAGGGCATGTTATCAGGTTGAAATGAAATAGCGTTGAAGATATGCTTCAATTTTGTATCTGGAACGATGGTGTCGCTGAATTTGACCACTCCGTTCAAATAGTGTCCCTGTCGCATATTTAATTGGCTCATCGCATTTTGTAGGGATATCGCTTGCCGAAACTGCCTCATTGATGTCAAAAAATGCATCGTGAAAATTTCCGATTTCGGTTTATCGAAGCAAGCAGAAACGTATCATATTCCTGACTCGGAAAAGCTCGCAATTAAGTGGTTTGTCGATCGCATTGTCTGTCTTTATTTCATTTTGAACGTCGATCGAATTCAGGCAAGCTCCTGAGGTGATTCTCACTAGAACATACACAATGAAATCTGATGTTTATTCATTCGGCATTCTCTTATGGGAGATCTTTAATGACGGCGATTCACCATTCAGAGGCGTCAAAAATAGAACAATTAGGTTGAAGGTATCTCCAACATTTCAACACGAGAAGTACTGGGCAAATCTTTTTTCGAAATTAACCACTAGCGTCTTGTTTTCCTGATTGAGCCAGTCCGGGCATAGAAACGATGTGATTGTAGGTCTCAAGCAAAGCACTTATTTTCCAGATTTCCGACCCTAAATTCCGTCCAATTACCGGTCCTAACCTTCCGATTCTCGTCGTGAGGGTGATGAAGACATGTTGGAGAGGAGATCCGAACAAGAGACCAATGATGGCACAAGTGGCTCGTTATCTCATTCATGCTCCTCCTGAGTTGTGAGCGATTGTTGCAATATTTTTTACACCTTCATATTGTTCGTTGCACTGCAACCGCTTTCACGTGACCGATCCTCAATCCTTCTATTCCAATGAACAGATGACATTTCAGACCACACGTCACAGTGGTCCACAAACATATTCTCAGCCTTCGCAAATGCTTATTTGTTTTAGCTTCCAGCTCGTGATAGCTTGATGCCCCAAAGTAGGCCTTTAGATAAATCCGAGCTTGAACCTGTACCTGTACCCTCGAGAGTTGTATGTACCCCTACCATGGCATGTACACGTTTCAGTTTTTGAACTCGTAAACTCTCTCGAGAGCCTTGTCAACCCTAGTTGTTCCGACACCTAGAGAAATCTCCAAAACTGTAGAAAACAGACTCATCAATGGTTCCACCGTTCAAAGGCAGTTATTACTAATTTGGAACTCGGCCTAAAATGAGGGAGCTATATAGTGGGAAAATGGCGAAAGGAACGAAGTGAAACGGTCAAGAACCTGTGAAGAAAAGCATTAGTTGTTAATGACGCAAAACAATTCAGGACCAGTTTCCCGGCATCTTGCCAATAACACTACGGTAGATTTGGCTGCGCGTGTCTACTCATATACCATGCAGCACCGCAGCCGCTTCATACCAATCCGTTCGCTTCATATTTTGCTTTGCAAATGAAGCAGTACAGTCGTCCACTGTGGGCGGGAGGGAGTGGTGGGCGTTCTGGTAGGTATTTTGTAGCTTTATAAGGCCCTTATGAGGGCTTCCTTGGAAAAGCGCCTGCTCAAAGTTGCGGAATTTCGTCCTGCCACTGCCAGGCGTATTGATTCTACTCGTCTTCGGAACTTATCGTGCCAAATGCCTTCGAAGCGGAAAAGTCCGCTACCGCTGCGCAATAAAGGCCAGTTAAAAGCTTATTTGCCAGCACAAGGAACTTTTTTTCGAATCCGATCCTGTTGAGTCCCTCGCTCTCATACCTTCTAAGACCATTTGCAATGGTTACGCGTCTCATGCTAGCATGATGATCTCTAATGCGACTAGCCATCACCCTTCCTCGCCCCAACTTATGTGGAGTTACATGCCTGATACTAAATTCTCTATGCTACTTCCTGCTGCATACAATCGCCAGTTTTCTCTGTGTGGGCGAGTTAAACAATTTTCTGATATGTCCTTCTTGTCGCAGAGTCTGCTGTGGACCATTATGCCGCCTATCTCGAGGGTGGTTGTGCCGATAGCCATTGATAGTGGCTATTTTTGTAGCAAGCACTCGTGATTCTTATCGTTCCACCTCCTGCACATTCCAGTTGCTGTTACATGTTGAGAGCAATAGCGCGCTTCATGGCACTGGCTTTGCTGATGAAGCGCGAATCGAACATTTACGGTACCACTTTACTTGAGTAATGCTATGGAACACCTTAACATGCGCGCTAAAGAATGGACCCTTAACGGTGCTTTCTCGTATCAGCTTGATGTACTGTGACTGGTAATTCTGCCGTCGAAGCGCTCATCCATCTGGGATTACATTGATGTTATGAAGAAGTGGTCATCTATGTATATACTGTACATTAAAAGCAAGCGCGCCAGCACTGGTGCACCACATCACCCATGAAGCAGACATATTGTTATTCGGTCAGGAACCCATTCACGCAGCTTATGATACACAGATATCATAAAAATTGGCAAGATTTGGACTCTCACATTTCTGTGAGAGTCAAGCTCGGTTTCAGTGTGACATCGGCTAGAGTAGATGGAGTATTTGGTGAAGTAGGAATCTTAACTCGCATTACGTTCAGGCTTCTGAAGATGGCGACTAAATGCAAAGCCGCGATCATTCGCCATCACAAATAGTGGACTAAGGGTTTGCATATAGACGATAAGTTCTGAGTAACTCGATAGTGAAGGAAAAAGCACAAAAAACATGCCAACTGCCCTAGATAGAACCCCATTTCGATCCCAGTTTGTACGTGCCCAATCAACTCCATCTCCAAAACTACGCCCTCATATGCACGGCTGCTTCCCCGATAAGAACTCTAGTAAGTGTAAGTGCGATTTTCATGCTTTTTCGTCCTGCAGCTTCGTTTTTCACTGAAAGGTGGGCCTTAGGGGCGGAGTCTGGAGGCGGAATCACTGGAGAAAAGGAGGCGTCACTGAACATATTGAGCTGTAGCTGTTTTCTCGCTTTCATCGCGGACCATACTACCCTCCCGACGTCATATTTTCAACTTCTATACCAGATCGCGGACAGTGCTTCTATGTCAAAACGTCACACCAATCAAAAAATGTCCCACCTATCAGACTTGAAGGCACAAACAATCCTACTATATATAATCCGCTATGTCTGTGTGTATTCTCAACAGAAACGATTAGCAAGAAAATGAGTTGTTTTGCTTCTCAAGCTTAGACTCATTGTCAAAGGGCATTCTGTAATATAGTGGCTACTGAACACGTGGCGTACTGCAAGATGTATTGATCTGCGTTAGCGCTCCTTTCTAATTAAAAACAGAAATCACGCTCACCTATGAGGTGCATTGTTGGCGTGGGAGCGGCTAACAGACCAATAGCTGTCGAAGAGAGGTTTCCCCTTTCGAACATATGCGGCGTGGGTATTCAGGATCGTGGGATGGGCTGATTCTTCCATACTCCGCTTGAAAAGCATTTCGCGCGGCTCTCCTGGCACTTTGCTAAGTCTTCTAATTGCGCTTTCAAGTACGATTAAAATGCAACTCCTTATGCGAATGACAGTGAGGCGATGCTTATGCTGCAATCTCTGAGTAAGATGATGACGAGGGCTAGAACTAAAGAGTAACTAAAACACTACTGCAATCTTCCTTTAAAGCCGCGCATTCCCACCAAACTTCTGACTAAGAACGACCCATGCGTGTTCTTCGCTAAGTCAGAACTTATTATGGCTCTCGTGTTATATTAGCGTCGAGTTGCGAAAATTTTTACGGGTTCACAATTATTTTTATTTATTCTCATTAACATAGATGCTTTTCAATCCTAGCCCTCGTCAACATCTTATTCGAAGTCTGTAGAATGTGCAAGGCCCTAATTGCCATCCGCATCAGGAGTAGTGTTTTAATCGTACCCAAAAGCGCAAACTACAAGACTTGGCAAAGTGCCAGTAGCGCCGCGAGCGACACGCGTTGCGCCTACGGCCGGAAAGTATATTGTGATAAGAAGGCTTCACGACCCGAGCCGAAGTCGAGTTAATGTCCGAATGTGACCCGCGCCGGCCTGCATTGTAAAGCGATGGCATCCATTCAGAAACTTGCAAGAACCCCGCAATAACACTGCTATATTTTCTGATCTTATACGTCACTCTATGGAAGGAAGGCCTCATTTCGGGAAATATAGCAGAAATTTCTGGCCGATCTAGTACATCAGCACCTCTGCTAATTGATTTTTTTCCAGCCTTTTGCCAAAGCCGCCAACAAGCCCGTCTTCGGTGTCTCCTGCGAAGTCCAAATGCAGTAAAGAATCGGTAACTACAAAGATCACTTGTATTTTTTGTATCACTTTATTTTACGGCGCATTAATTGGACTCTCAATTTGTCGTTATGTCTGTAAGCCTGTGAAATACCTCCACAGTGTCTTGAGGGGACCTTAGGGGTAAGCGACCACTAACAAAATTGTAGGCCACTTTGAGTCATCAATGTAAGTAGTGCTTTTGGTGTATGTGGGGGTTTGTCCAATGCAATCTTTCACATCACTAAGTTTGGGAACAGTCATGAAGTAGAGCAATACGGGAGTTCCTTTACGTTGCCCCTGTCAACTTTGGTAGTTGAGAATAGTAGATTCCAGCGATCACGTTGATTGAGAAGTTCTTCCAATGTAATATGTCACACCAGAAGAAGCAGCAATTACAATTTCCTCGAAATGCGAACTGAATTATTTCCTCGGCGATTCAACCCCTTCGCCAATGCCATTTGAGCATCGGGGTTCACCTGAGATGGAAAGAGTGGCACTCAGTGCAAGTACGTGCAGGGGACTTACAGAGCGCTTGCCTCCACTCGCAAACAGTGTTACGCGGGTGCTTATTGTTGTTGCTATCCGCAACCTGTAGGTTGCTGTCCTAACGTGGTGCGCACTACGGTGTGCACATTATGGCCACATACTTGATGTTAACCCACTTACCAACCCCTATGCCATACCTTTCCCACAAGACTAAGCCTGCAGCGCCGTGAATACCTCAATTGAACCGGCAACCAAATACCAAGTGACCCCTAAATAAGTATTCAAGAAATGCATTGGTAAAATCAAATACGATAACAGCAATACACAAATTTAATTACTGGGGGCGTTGGGAGGCTCATCTGACTCTTTCTGTTACCTTCAGTTCTGCTCTTGTGGCTTGGTGCATCGTCTTGATTCAATACAGGTTAACCATTCTCCACACTTCCTGAGCCTATTTTTTCAACTCGCCAAAATGAGAGAGCAAGTTCTACATAATACCCTAAGTAAGCAACAAGAAATTCTGCGCAGATTATATAACTACGGTCCCCGATATAGTGAACGTTGCTCGCGATTTTCCAAAGGTACTTTTGAAATTGCTTTCTAGCTCGAGCTGGTGAACATGAGCAGTGCCACGGAGAGCGTTCTCGATATATTTTAGGCAATCACGAAAAAAAGTGTTTGGTGATTTGATTCCACAGGTGTGTATTCAGTTGTGAAAGGATGTCACACCTTAGTATACCACATCATTTCTTGTCCATATATATGTAAGCAGAATAAGGCAGTACAGCATGTGCCATTCTGATCTTATGCTCCGTTTGTTTGAGTATTAGTCACAAAGATTTATAGATTAGCAGTGCCAGATTGATTCGGTTACCGGACAATGGATTAGTGTTGTATCCAAAGAGGTCTGAGCTAAGACGAGATTAGGTCTCAGCTAAGACGAGATAGTTCTATCATGATAGGCAGAATAGAGCTGGACGGGAAATATGGCTCGGCCAATGAAAGCACTCACCTTATGGGAAACGGCGCTGGCAAAGCCACATGCCGATCCGGTCAA